TCTGCATATAAGTTAAATAAGCAGGGTGACAATATACAGCCTTGATGTACTCCTTTTCCTATTTGGAACCAATCTGTTGTTTCATGTCCAGTTCTAATTATTACTTGCTGACCTGCATACAGATTTCTCAAGAGGCAGGTCCAGTGGTCTGGTAGTCCCATCTCTTTCAGAATTTTCCACAGTTTATTGTGATCCACACAATCAAAGGCTTTGGCATAGTCAGTAAAGCAGAAATAGATGTTTTTCTGGAACTCTCTTGCTTTTTCAATGATCCAACGGATGTTGGCAATTTGATCTCTGATTCCTCTACCTTTTCTAAATCCATCTTGAACATCTGGACGTTCACAATTCATGTACTGTTGAAGCTTGGCTTGGAGAATTTTGAGCATTCTTTTACTAGAGTGTGAAATGAGTGCAATTGTGCGGTAGTTGGAGCATTCTTTATGATTGCCTTTCTTTGGGATTGGAATGAAAACTGACCTTTTCCAGTCCTGTGGCCACTGCTGAGTTTTCCAAATTTGCTGGCATGTTGAGTGCAGCACTTTAACAGCATCATCTTTTAGGATTTGAAATAGCTCAACTATTTGAAATAGCTCACCTCCACTAGCATTGTTCATAATGATGCTTCCTAAGGCCCACTTGAGTTCACATTCCAGGATGTCTGGCTCTAGGTGAGTGATCACACCATCATGATTATCTGGGTCATGAAGAATTTTTTTTTGTATAGTTCTGTGTATTGTTGCCACCTCTTCCTAATATCTTCTGCTTCTGTTAGGTCCATACCATTTCTATCCTTTATTGAGCCCATCTTTGCATGAAGTTTTCCCTTGGTATCTCTAATTTTCTTGAAGAGATCTCTAGTCTTTCCCATTCCATTGTTTCCCTCTATTTCTTTGCAGTGATCACTGAGGAAGGCTTTCTTATCTCTCCTTGCTATTCTTTGGAACTCAGTATTCAAATGCGTATATCTTTCCTTTTCTCCTTTGCTTTTCTCTTCTCTTCTTACACAGCTATTTGTAAGCCCCCCTCAGACAGCCATTTTGCTTTTTTGCATTTCTTTTTCTTGAGGATGGTCTTGATCCCTGTCTCCTGTATAGTGTCATGATCCTCTGTCCATAGTTCATCAGGCACCCTATCAGATCTAGTCCCTTAAATCTATTTCTCACTTCCACTGTATAATTGTAAGGGATTTGATTTAGGTCATACCTGAATGGTCTAGTGGTTTTCCCTTCTTTCTTCAATTTAAGTCTGAATTTGGCAATAAGGAGTTCATGATCTGAGCCACAGTCAGCTCCCAGTCTTTTCTTTGCTGACTGTATAGAGCTTCTCCATCTTTTGCTGCAAAGAATATAATCATCTGATTTTGGTGTTGGCCATCTGGTGATGTCCATGTGTACAGCGTTCCCTTGTGTTGTTGGAAGGGGATGTTTGCTATGACCAGTGCGTTCTCTTGGCAAAATTCTATTAGCCTTTGCTCTGCTTCATTCTGTACTCCAAGGCCAAATTTGCCTGTTATTCCAAGTGTTTCTTGACTTCCTACTTTTCCATGCCAGTTCCCTATGTTGAGAAAGACATTTTTGGGGGGTGTTAGTTCTAAAAGGTCTTGTAGGTCTTCATAGAACCGTTCAACTTCAGCTTCTTCAGCATTACTGGTCAGGGCATAGACTTCAATTAGTGTGCTATTGAATGGTTTGCCTTGGAAATGAACAGAGATCATTCTGTCGTTTTTGAGATTGCATCCAAGTACTGCATTTTGAACTCTTTTGTTGACTGTGATAGCTACTCCATTTGTTCTAAGGGATTCTTGCCCACAGTAGTAGATATAATGGTCATCTGAGTTAAATTCACCCATTCCTGTCCATTTTTGTTCGCTAATTCCTAAAATGTTGACATTCACTCTTGCCATCTCATTGACCACTTCCAATTTGCCTTGATTCATGTACCTAACATTCCAGGTTCCTATGTGTACAACTACATGTCAAAGAATTACATTAGAACACTTCCTAACACCATACACAAAAATAAGTCAAAATGGATTAAAGACTGAAATGTAAGGCCAAATATTATAAAACTTTTAGAAGAAAACATAATTAGTACACTCTTTGACATAAATGGCAGCAAGATCCTTTGTGACCCTCCTTCTACAGTAATGAAAATAAAAAAATAAATTTGAAGCTGATAAAACGTAAAAGCCTTTTCAGAGCAAATAAACTGTAAACAAGGTGAAAAAAACAGTCCTCAGAATGGGAGAAAAATAATTGCAAATGAAGAAACTGACAAAGGATTAATATCAAAAATATACAAGCAGCTCATGCAGCTCAATATAAAAAACACTAAAAATCTGATCAAAAACTGATCAGAAGACATCAACAGACACTTCTAAGAAGACATACAGATTGCTAAAACATGAAAAGATGCTCAACATTTATCATTATTAGAGAAATGTAAGTTAAAAGTCCAATGAGGTTTCATTTCACACAGGTCAGAATGGCCATCATCAAAATATCTACAAACAATGAATGCTAGAGAGGATATGGAGAAAAGGGAAGCCTCTTCCATTGTTGGTGTAAATTGATACAAGCACTATGGAGAATGGTATGGAGGTTTCTTACAAAACTAGCAGTAAAACTACCATATGACCCAGAAATTCCATTAGTCTGAGAAAGCCGTAATTCAAAAATACGCATATACCCCAGTGTTAATTGCAGCACTATTTACAATAGTCAGGACATGGAAGCAACTTAGATGCCCATTGACAGATGACTGGATAAAGAAGATGTGATGCATATATACAATGGAATGTTACTCAGCCATAAAAGGAACAAAATTGGGTCATTCACAGTGATGTAGATGAACCTAGAGTCTGTCACAAAGAGTAAATTAAGTCAGAAAGATAAAAACAAATATAATATTTTAATGCTTATAGCTAGAAAATGTTATTTTTTATCCATTTTGTATATCTAGAAAATGCAATTTTTCGAGAATCTAGAAAAATGTTACAGATGAAACTATTTGCAGGGCAGGAATAGAGATGCAGACCTAGAGAATGAACATGTGGACAAAGGCAGGAAAAGAGAAGGTGAGACAATTTGGGAGATTAAGATTTATGTATATACACTACCATGTGTAAAATAGCTAGTTATTGGGAAGCTGCTGGGTAGCATAGGGAGCTCAGCTCAGTGCTCTGTGATGACCAAGAGGCATAGGATGGAGTGGGTGGGAGTGAGGCTAAAGGAGGGAGGGTACATATTTGCACACATAGCTGATTCACATTGGTGTACAGCAGAAACTAACACAACATTGTAAAGCTCTTATATTTCAATTTTAAAAATATTAAAAATTGAAAAAAAGAAATGTGAAAAGAAGACAAATTAGATAAAATGTTTGCTAGAAGGAACTTTTAGGGATATGAAGAACTTCACTTTGCTCTCAGTGGCATGAGAACAATACCCAAGAAAATGGTAACCTGAAATAATACAAAATTATTATGCAAATACTGATTAATCAGATTACTGTCAATTCACTTTCCTCAGTCTAAATAAATTTCAAATATATGTCATTAATAATCATGATATAATTAACTTGAAAGTTCATATGCCTTGTGAGAATATGAGTGCCTTGTAAATAAAAGTTAAAAAAGAACTGTAGGAAGCACAATAAAGAAAATTACTGTCAATTGCATGCTTGGTACTCAAGCAGAGGTATAATCAATTTGTGTGTTCATAGAAAAAGGCAGTTATATTAAAAGCAATATAAAACATTTGCATAAATATTAACATATTAAATAAATATTCTATATTCAAATATTAACATTTGACATTCAAGTATTAAATAAATATTTGAATGTTGCACTAGTCAGCTGGACAGACTGGGCCTTCTCTTCCTAGCTCAAGAATTGTTTAGAAGACATATTTATAATGAAATAATTTTTTATGCTATCAGCTTCTATTTTAAAATAAATGTTACATTAAATATCCTGGCCTGAAATGGGTAACCTTGCCTTTCTCCAGGTCATCTTCCCGACCCAGGGTTCAAATCCAGGTGTCCCACATTGCAGGCAGATTCTTTACCAACTGAGCTACCAGGGAAGCCCAAATATCCTGCAAAGAATGAATTCTGACAAAAATGAGAAGTATGAATGTAAAGAATATAAAAACAGAAAGAATGAAGAAGATACTTTGAGATTACTGATATCTACATAGTCATAGGAATGAATGATGTTCGTGGAAATCCATTTTAGTCTATAGTGCCTAGTTAGCCATTTCAAAAATTATTTCTCTTTGAACTTTGCAAACTTATAAATATATATGTGCATATATGTATATATACATATATAATGTTATTTGTATGCATTTAATATAATATATAAAATTATATGGAATAGTACTACATATTTATATACTATGTAATTATTATATATAATGACATATAGCATATATTATTATATTAACATATGATACATATATGTCACATTGTAAAACCTGACATTGTCTGATAATTTGTAACTCTATATTACAGAAATCAAAAAAGAATCTCTAATCTCAGGTTTTACTTCGTGATTTATTTTCTTCTATAATATAGTGCTTCAAATAAAGCTACATTTGCACAATCATTTCAGCAAGGAAGAGAATTCTTTATTCTGTCTCAATATTGGTTAGGGTAAAATTTATCCAACAAGTTAATTTCTTTTTGGTTTCTTGGAAATATAATCTATTATTTCCATTTGGAGCATGGCTGTTGATAGTAAATGAAAAGCAAAAGATGTCTTTTTGGTTTCATCACTCACTATTCGGTTTCACAGATATTTCCTTGAAATTGAACTTTTTCTTCACAGATATATAGAAATAAAATGAAGATAGTAATTTATGATAGTTTCCACATTCAAAATGTTATTTTCTTTTGCTATTGTTCATCTTTATTGTGTTTAACAGTAGGGCCATTAAATGAAATGAGACACCAGAAGTTTTCAAAATGCTAAATTAGCCTAATTGACAATATCATCAATTTCCTGGATTTTCTAATGATATAAACAGGAAATTGCAGAATATATATAAAGGGAAGCTCAAAGGTATTCTACCCAGTTTCATTACCACTTTTTCCTCGTTCTTTTCAAAGGTAAGGATTTTATAACCAGTTGTTTTCCTGAAGCTCAGTTTTCCACTAGAATCAAAATATACCAAAGTTAATCTGAATGCGATATTTCTTTGAGGTTGTAAACAGATGGAGCCACCATGTCGCTTTCTGAAAGCACTTTGTTTGAAAATTATATAATGGTTGGTGAAGATCACATACAAATGAACACCAAAGTTGTAACCGGACCACTTCCAGGAGTATTTTCCATCTCTGACAATCTTTTTGCCACATCTCATGCTATATTCTTCAAGTTCGGTTTCACTGATGTCTCTGGGACCAATCTCCCTGTATTGTTGTGCTCTAAGCAAGGTAAACCATTGTTGTTTATAAACACACGATAACCATTCTGAAGGTATTAGAGCATCTTGTTCAATAACTCTTGTGGAGGCCAGGTCGCAGATGATATGATGAAACCTCAAATTTTTAAATACTGGTTGAAATGCTATGCCTTGTTCAGTTTCAAGAAAGGAAATGCTAGCACTGTGTTCCCTGTGCCCGGAAAACCAGTTGTTTGCCTTAACTAAAAGCTGTTTCATTGAGCCTTTCCAACCTGGGTTAAGGCGGAGGAACATCCACTGTTTAAGTGTAGTATATATATCGATTTCCTTTTGCATTACTAATAAATCAGGGGAAGAAATGACCATATTCATAAGATCTGTACTGAGTTCTTTGTAAAGTTCAACACTTGGATGAGTCATCAGATTGTGGAGAAGCCATTCAAAGCACTCTGTCTTTACAGAATGTAACCCATAGGTCTCTGCTGCCGCATAGAAGCTACACACAGTTTTCACATTAATTGTTTCCTCCATGGTCTCATCACACTCCTGAATTAAGTCCTCTACTTGAAACAGGCATGCAGTTGCCAAAACTCCTGGAACTTGAAGGGGCTCAATAAAGACATAGTCATTCCTATACAACCAGCCTAATACAAAATCCAAGGATTCTACATTTATATTCTGGTCATTAATCTCCAGGTCAATAATATCTTCGTGACAGTCTTTCCAAGAATCTCTAAGCACTGTAACAAAGTAGTTCGACTGGCATAAAAACGTTTTGTGTAAACACCATACTTTCCCCAGAGCACGGATTTTAATGTCACTGGTTTCCCCATTTAAAAATAAAGTTTGGTAAGCATGCTCAGATGTGATCTTAACTTTTTTACCCTGTCTTGTACAGACGACTTGCTGTAGATCCTCCTCCTGGCCTAGAAACGTGTGGCTCCTCTCAGACTCTGGGCTCAAGCCGGGACCGGTGCTCTGTTTGCGTTTGCGGCTGCCAGACACATAACTGGGGCCTGCCTGGGGTTCTGGCTGCTGCGGTTCCTCTGTGCATTGCAGAATCCGACTGTTCAAGGACCCCATAGATAAAGGTTCTTAGAGCCCCTAGAGAGACTGTTGTTGTTGTTGTTGAGACTTCCCTGCCACAGCATTGCTGTGGCCCGCCACCTCCGCTTAGGCCCTAGTTTCCCTTGGAGATTTTAGCACAGTCCCAAACGTCACAGTGGAGGCTCTGCATTCTTCATTGTCTGCTCCAGCCCCTCCCTTCCTGTGGCCCCGCCCCTGCCTCCAGTCTTCCATTCAGTCTAGCCTATTGTTCGTTCAGGGCCCCTGCCTCCAGGTTTTCCTTGAAAATGCTTTCCTATGGAAATGACTGAATCAAAGGCTTTTGGACCACAGTGTTAAAGAGTGTACATATTCACATTTCTACTGCAAGTGGGAGAATTCTTTTCTCAACTGTCAGCAGTGTTGAATATAATCATCTACCTTCGACTTTTAGTAATTTTAAAAAGATGAAGTGGTATACCATTATCTTATTATTCCTCTTTCATTACAGAGAAGGCAAACTTTTATTTGATGTATGTGTGTATATACATATATATATATTATACATATATAATTTGTATATATGTATAATTTTGAAATAACAATAGAGAGAAAGAGATATTTCAAAATTTTCTGATAAGGTACATCTTCATATTCTTTGCTTATTTCTCTTTATGAAAATTACACTTTTCATAAGTGTTTTATGAACACTTTTTATGAAAAGTGTTAGTCACTAAGCCCTGTCTAACTTTTTGAAAGCCTATGGACTTGTAGCCTGCCAGGCTCTTCTGTCCATGGGATTCTCAGGGAAGACTACTGGAGTGGGTAGCCATTTCCTTCTCCAGGGGATCTTCCTGAACCAGGGATCAAACACTGGTCTCCCACATTGTGGGCAGTTTCTGTACTGTCTGAGCCATCAAGGAAGCCCCCCAAAAAAGTGTTAGTCACTTGATCATGTCCAACTCTGTGACCCCATGGACTGTAACCTGCCAGGGTCCTCTGATGAAAGTCTCCAGGCAAGAAAACTGGAGTGGGTTGCCATTTCCTTCTCCAGGGAAATTCCTGACACAGGGATCAAACCCGGTATCCTGCACTGCAGGCAGATTCTTTACTGTTTGAGCTACCAGGGAAATGTTTATTTCTGTATTTATATACATTTTCTCCCTAGTGACTTATTAGCTTATTTAGCTCCCTAAATGCTTATTAGCTTGTTATAAAGATTACACATATGTATGGTGTGCATGCATGCTAAGTCACCTTCAGTCGTGTCCCACTCTTTATGACCCTATGGACTGTAGCACAGCAGGCTCCTCTGTCTATGGGGATTCTCCAGGCAAGAATACTGGAGTGGGTTGCCATGACTTCCTCCAGGGCATCTGTCTGATCCAGGTATCAAACCTGCATCTCTTACCTCTCCTGAATTGGCAGGTGGGTTCTTTACTACTAATGCCACCTGGGAAGCCCATATGTATGCATATATACATATAAAAATGAAAATTGTTAAAATGTTATATTTTGTTGTTGTTCAGTCACTCAGTCGTGTCCAACTTTTTGTGACCCCATAGACCACAGCACACCAGGCTTTCCTCTCTTTCACCATCTCCTGGAGCTTGCTCAAACTCATGTCCATTGAATCAGAGATGCCATTCAACCATCACGTCCTCTGCCGTCCTCTTCTCCTCCTGCCTTCAATCTTTCCCAGCATCAGGGTCTTTTCTAATGAGTTGGCTCTTCGCATCAGGTGGCCAAAGTATTAGAGCTTCAGTTTCAGCATTGGTCCTTCCAAGGAATATTCAAGATTGATTTCCTTTAGGATTGACTGATTTGATCTCCTTGCTGTCCGAAGGACTCTGAAGAGTCTTCTCCAACACCACAGTTCAAAAGCATCAACTCTTTGGCACTCAGCCTTCTTTATGGTCCAATTCTCACATCCATACATGACTACTGGAAAAATCATAGCTTTTACTATATAGAACTTTGTCAGCAAAGTCATATTTCTGCTTTTTAATATGCTCTCTAGGTTGGTCATAGCTTTCCTTCCAAGGAGCAACTGTCTTTTAATTTCATGGCTGCAGTCACCATCTGCAGTGATTTTGGAGCCCAAGAAAATAAAAGTCTGTCACTGTTTCCATTGTTTCCCTATCTATTTGCCATGAAGTGATGGACTGGATGCCATGATTTTAGTTTTTTTAATATTGAGTTTTTAAGCCAGCTTTTTCACTCTCCTCTTTCACCTCCACCAAGAGGCTCTTTAGTTCCTCTTCAATTTCTGCCATAAGAATTGTGTCATCTGCATGTCTGAGGCTATTGATATTTCTGTCAGCAATCTTGATTTCAGCTTATGCTTCATGCAGCCCAGAATTTTGCATGATGTACTCTGGATATAAGTTAAATAATCAGGGTGACAATATACAGCCTTGTCATACTCCTTTCCCAATTTGGAACCAGTCCATTGTTCAATAGCTGGTTCTAACTGTTGCTTCTTAATCTGCATACAGTTTTCTCAGGAGGCAGGTAATGTAATGTGGTCTGGTATTCCCATCTCTTGAAGAATTTTCCACAGTTTGTTGTGATCCACACAGTCAAAGCCTCAGGAAGCATCAATGAAGTCAATGAAGCAGAAGTAGATTTTTTATTAATTCTTTCTTTTTCTGTGATCCAGTGGATGTTGCCAATTTGACCCCTAATTTCTCTACCTTTTCTAAATTCAGCTTGAACATCTGGAAGTTCTCAATTCACATACTGTTGAAGCCTGGCTCGGAGAATTTTGAGCATTACTTCCCTAGAGTGTGAGATGAGTGTAACTGTGCAGTAGCTTGAACATTCTTTGACATTCCCCTTCTTTAGGATTGGAATGGAAGCTGATTTTTTCCAGCCCTGTGGTCACTGCTTAGTTTTACATATTTGCTGGCATATTGAGTGTAGAACGTTAACAGCATTATCTTTCAGGATTTGAAATAGCTCAGCTGGAATTCCATCACCTCCAGTAGCTTTGTTAGCAGTGATGCTTCCTATGGCTCACTTGACTTTACACTCCAAGATGTCTGGCTGTAGGTGAGTGATCACACCATCATGGTTATCTGGGTTATTAAGATCTTTTTGTATAGATCTGTGTATTTCTTGCCACCTCTTCTTTATATCTTCTGCTTCTTTTAGGTTCATGCTGTTTCTGTCCTTTATTGTGCCCATCTTTGCATGAAATGTAAAGCTCCTCCCACTGCCCCCTTTTCTGGGCTCTATGTTCAGTTTATAAGAAACTGTCAAACTATTTTCCAAAGTGGCTTTACCATTTGATGTTACTACTAGCAATGTAAGATGGTGGAGTAGAAGGACATGTGTTCATCTTCTCCTGTAAGAACACCAAAATGGCAACTAGCTGCTGAATAACCATCAACAAGAGAATGTTGAATCCCACGAAAAAAAGATACCCGGATCCAAGGGCAAAGGAGAAGCCCCAACAAGACAGTAGGAGGGGCACGGTTGCATTTAAAATTAAATCTCAGACCCAGTAGAGACGCTCGGAGGGCACAAACAAAACCTTGTGTGCACCAGGACTGAGGGAAAGGAGCAATGACTCCCATAAGAGACCAAGCCAGACCTGCATTTGAGTGTTTGAGTGTCTCCTGTGGAGGCATGGGTTAGCAGTGACCTGCCCCGGGGACTAGGACTCTGGTTGCAGCAGACTTGGGAGGTGCAGCGTGTGGCATAATCCTCTTTGAGGAGGCTGTCATTAACCCCACTACAGAGCCAACAAACCGATGACCCACGAACTGGAGAACAATTATGCCAAAGAAGTTCTTTCACTGTTTCAAAAGTTCTAGGGCCCACAACAGGTTTCCCAACCTGGGGATCCAGCAAAAGGACTGAGAACCATTAGGGAAACAGACTTTTGAAGGGCACAACAAAACCTTGTGCACACCAGGAGAAAGGAGCAGTGACTTTGCAAGTGACTGAGCCAGACTTGCCTGTGAGTGTCCAGGAGTGTCCAGTGGAGGTGTGGATTGACAGTGGCCTGCCATGGGCTCAGGGCCAATGACTACAACAGTCCTGAGAGCCGTGGCATGCTGGCATAAGTCCTTTTGTAGGAGGTCACCATTAGTGCCATTAACTCTATCATAGTTTGGACTCAGGCCAAACTACAGAGGGGGTAAAAGTCCCACCCATCAGCAGAAAATTGGATTAAAGATTTAATGAGCATGGCCCTGCCCACAAGAGCAAGACCCAGTTTACCCTCCCTCCTCCAGAAAGCTTCCTTAAGCCTCCTATCTTTATCCATCAGAGGGTAGACAGAATGAAAACCACAACCACAGAAAACTAAACAAACTTATCCCATGGGTCACAATGTTGTCTAACTCAGTGATACTATGAGCCATGCCATGTAGGGCCACCCAAGATGGACAGGTCATGATGGAGAGTTCTGATAAAATATGGTCCACTGGAGAAGGGAATGGCAAACCACTGCAGCATTCTTGCCTTGAGAACCCCATGAACATAATGAAAAGGCAAAAAAAAAAAAAAAAGATTATATATTTATATATGATAAAATTTTATGGGATTTTTTGTTGTAAAGATATTTTAATTCATAAGAAGCCAAATTAGATTTTCCAAATATTGATTTTTGCATCTCTGCTTAGAAAGTCTTACCTTATCTGAAATTCGATAAATATTCTTCTAATATTTTCTAGCTAAATATTCATTGTGTTAACTCTTATTTAACATCTAAATGTTGAAATTTTAATGCATTTCTAAATTCTCATAATTTGAAATGACAGAAGCCTTATACAAAAGAGTACATATAAGCCAGATTTTTACAAACAAAAAATACACATGTATTTTGCATGCATAATACTAAAAGTAATAGACAATATTCTCCCATAGGTTGTCTTTGGATATTGATATTATGGATAGTATCTTAACTAAGCCCAGGCAGCAGGTACAGTGGGGCCTATAAAGAGTGAGTGATTGGTTACATGGTGTTCTCCATCCTTCTTAGCTGTAGTTTGTGTGGGTTTTGCTTTCTCTTAATCCAGCACAAGCTC